AATTGTTAAAAATAAAATTCAAAACATACAAATTCGTTTTCTTTTTCTTTTTTTGCTATATACATATATATATATATATATACGTACATTACATACATACATACATACATACACATACGTACATACATACATACATACATTGGTTCGCGATTCCTTTCGTTTCGATGGCAATTACGATCTACCTTATCGATCGAATGAATGTAACTTTTTATCTCATTAAATCGTTCTCATCTTCATTTCAATTATTAATCCATTTTATTACGTATAATCTTAGTTTTATTTCTAATACACGAACGAATTATTTTTTATTTTAAATAAATAATATATGTTTAGTTTGTAGCTTTCTTACCTTACTGGGAATGAGAAGACGAAGTTCATCGTCACCCTGTCGATAACGTTTGTGAGGACTGGTTGGCCCTCCTGAACCTGTCATGGCGCCCGCATCAGCTTCCCTCTTCATTATTCCTACAATAAAAAAAAAAAAGAAAAAAAAAACAATTGTATTAAAATAACCGAAATAAATACTTTTACTAATTACATACAAAAGTCAATTCGAAAAAGGCAGAGTAAAAAATAAAATTTGATATTTAAGAGACTGAGATTACGAAAATTTTTCAGTATTCGTTTATCTCTCTAAATTTATTTTTCATGCTCGTTTGAATCGATATTTTTCCGAGAATAATAATAATAATAATAATAAAAATAAAAATAATAATAATAATAATAATAATAATAATAATAATAATAATAATAATAATAATAATAATAACAACAACAACAACAACAACAACAACAACAACAACAACAACAACAACAAATATCTTCAAATAACTACCATAAAAAATTTACTAGTACTCATATAAAAAGGTTAATTCGTATAAGACAAAAAAATTTTCGAGTATTCGAACACTCTAAATTTATTCTTCATGCTCGTTAAACTTGACTCGGTATGACCCATACGAATACACCGGGAGCAATCTAGTGAATTACAAAATTGCCCGTCACTAATTATGGAAGGCACGTGTCCTGGTAATAGATTGTACCGTTACACTGATGTCCTAAAAGCATGATGAGAATGATACATCAATTATACCTAATTTAAAAATCTTTCGATGGCTGTATAAATATTTCACTCAAACTCATTTAACAAAACATTATTAGTAAACCTTCAGTAAATGTTTAAATATTCATTGAATAAAAAAAAGAAAAAGAAATATTATATTATTAGCTTTAATAAAAATGTAATTACTATGAAAACATTTGTTTTCGATTTTATTTAATTCAAAAGTTTTATTTATTTTATTATCTTTGCTTTTATTTCGTTTTATTATTATTATAATGTTTGAAAAGATTAGATGTTGATTAGATGATTATAATTGACTAGAAAAAAATATAATATCATAATTTGATATACTATATAATATATTATACATATACAATATATATATATATATATATATATATATATATATGTATCAATATTGATAAGTATTATAATATGTCATATATATTATAGATGTATAATATATAAATAATATTATATAAAAATAATATTATATAAAATTATTAAATACAAGAGAAATTTTTTGAATTCACAGTAATTTGAATTTCAAAGCTAAACTAAATTTAATAAAAATTATTGATATTTGATCAATCGAGTTTATCCTATAAAAACTATTATAATATGCAAATCTACACATAATAAAAATACAAATATTATCATGTAAAAATATCATTAATTTGAAGATAAATTTTTAGAATTCTCGAAATCACATTAGTTTCAATGCCAAATAGACTACTGATCTAAATCTAATAAAAACTATCGATATTCGATCAATCAAATCCATCTCGATCGTTGTTTAGAAACTAATAGATATGCTTACAATGCTATGGAATGCCATGCCCGTCATCGTACTTCCCCCACTCCTCTAATGCAACACATTCTCTCTCTCTTACACACACAAACACATACACACACACGCACGCGCGCGTACGCATGCACTCACTCACGCACTAACTCATCGTAATCGTTTCGAGTGAAAGAAAAGGCATTGCTTGTTAGAAAGGGGTGGTTGGTTAGGGGGCAGGAGAAGGGTGTTGAAAGGAGTACACGTACGCAACGGCCGAATACCAGCAGCGATCATCCATGCGAATATAACGCGATAATACGCGTTTAGCATTGAAATCACGAAACACGTTGATCGACGTCGACATTGTCGTCGTCGAATCGTCGTCGAAATGTCGGTATACGAAACTTGTCTATAGGTATACAGGACGGATCAGAATAACTATTCCTAATTTTCATATCTTACAGGACGAATACACGTAATTCCCAATTCCCGAGCTCGTAACTTTATAGTATTGGTTTATCATAGAAAAGTTGTCCAAATGTGGACAACATCAAAAGTATATATCCGATAAGTATAAATAAATATATTTTTAAAACACATCCTGTATAACATATTATACATCATGTAAGAATACATGGCAGGATTGAAGCTTGCATGGTATGCGCGAACGCATTATAATATGTAATATGCGAAAGCGCGGTCGTGAAAACTCGATGGTAGAAAAATAAAACGCGTGGTGTACCCTTTCAGCATATCTCGGCATTCATAGGCTAACGTCGTTGCGTCAAATAACAAGAATTACTCAAGAATTTATAACAGATAGGAGTAATATTGTTTTCTTTGGATTTTACTTTTTTGATTTCTTTAACAGCATCCTCTGTGGTTTTTATCATTTCTTTTTTCTTTTTTCGAAATCATTTTAACGTCCCGTCAAACAGATATATTATACAGGATGGGTCACAAGTTTTTAAGGTAATTTTAAAAAATCCATTTCATAAATTCTCTAATTTTGAAACTTTTTAAGCAAATTGTTCTCTTTCTCTTTTTTTTCTGCAGATTGTGAAACTACGAATTTAACTACAATTTTAAAAAGTCTTCAAAAAAGAGTAATTGATTTTTAATAAATCACTTAGAAACTTTTAGTCCATTTAGGAACTTTTGTCTCACGTTACGTATGTATAGTATAGAATATTATTATTAATATTAATATTATTATTATGCAATTATAAAAAAAAATTAAATATAATTATAATATAATAATATAATAACGCTAACGTTGTTGATGTTATAATCTACTTGTGGTTATGTTATAACTTAAGTTATATATATATTTTTAAATGTTATAATAAAAATGTTCTTGAGGTAGTATTAGTTATCTTTTGTGTATAACTACCACACTTTCTGTCTATTTTCTTTTTTTCAGCCGCAGATCATTTTTAACAGGCTAAACGTCTTCTATTATTACCGCAGAATATGTATTGATCTCTTCGTATATCTTTTCATTTTTTTTGCGAGATAATTTTAACAGGTAGAATCGTCTTGTATGATATAAATATTATGAGAATATGTATAATATATTTTTATCTGTCTTTTTCTCTTTTAAATCTTTTTTTAACAGCTCGAAAAGGTCTTCTATATCATGTCAATACACACACACACACACACACACACACACACACACACACACACACGTGCGCGCGGCACATCATACATAATATGTGTATATATGTATATGTATATATATATACACGCACATATATAGTATATATACATATATATATGCATACACGCGCGCACGTGTGTGTGTGTGTTATGTATTGATCTTTTCGTCTCATTTTTTTATCTCTATGAGTTCGTTTTAAACGACAATCGTCGACGTACAATCACGAGTATAGAAGTCGTTGTAGTTTCTAAATTACGTGACAAGGAATTTTAGGAATTTCATTGAAAATAGGATTTTATATGAATATCCTAGCTCGTTGCTTTCCTAATGAGATGGGATATATATATCTCCGAGTTATGAGAATGGGCTATATATGTATACCATTCATATAGATAAACGTGCGCATATATATGTATGTATGTATGTATGTATATAATGACTGAGAGAACAGTTGTACGTGTGTAAGTACGTACTATATACATACATATATATAAATTATATATTCCATATATACGTAGTATCCAACATAATTGGAACTATATCTTTTAAATGGTTAAAAATAGAAAAAAAACTGTTATAGGTCAAAGTTAAATGGTAGCAGAGGGTACGTAATATGGAAATAATTTTATGCATTTTTGTCCATCGACATATCAGAAAAATGCAACTGCACCATTTTTTTAATAGAAACCTTTTTGGCTGCAGTTTTTTATTTTCTATATAAAACTATTAACATGCTTATGCCCTAAATTTATATGTTAGGAGTATATATATATATAAGTTGATAGCTCTATTCTCGTCGGAAATATAACAATTGAATTATGTTCTTATCTTTCGAATACTGAAACAGTTAGTATGATAATGCGTTAGATATGAGGTTATTATATGCAAGAATTTCCAGTATTTTTATCAAACATTTTTTAAGATAATAAAATCCCGTTCTATAATAATATCGATAAGTTTAAATATTTAATTCTCAAATTATTATTTATATAATATAATAAAATATAATAATATATAACATAATAAAAATAATTGTTATGTACATAATATGATAATAAAAATAATAAAATAATATATATATATATTGTTAAATACATATATATAATAAAATTTTATAGATATATACGTAATATATTGTACATATTGTGTATATATACTGACACATTAATATAATATTTAACGATAATAAATATTACATTATTTTATCAAAACACACAAATTTATGATAATAGTATGATAGTATAATGGTAAAGTAAATCTGTTGAAAAAGAAAAGAAAAGAAAAAGAAAGAAGGAAGAAATTATTATAGAAAATTAGTCTTAAAAATTCAATTAAAAAACTTTTGTACCTGGAATATATCTTCGATTAAAACATCGAAACGGTAATCAGTTTTTTAATTAATAGTTATCAATGTCTGTTGATAATACACTCAATTAATATCTACTATTAATACACAGTAAATTAATTCATTTTGTAAATAATATATATGTCATCCATTTCAAGTCAACGTGTAAAAAGATACGAACATGCCGATGTGACTTTGAAGACGTCTCGATAAAAACTGCTGGGAGATCGTACGAGTCGATGAATAAATACCTAGTTAAAGTGATAAGTAAACATATACCGTAGGACACTTTCGTCGTCGTTGTCGTCGTTATTTTCGTTCTTGTTATTGTCGTTTTTTTATCTTTTAATATACATAAAATAACGCAATAAGAATAAATCTCCAAAGAATAAATTTCATAAGTAATTAAATGTAAGCAATCACTTTGTTTTATGTCACGTTGAAGTATAGTTACAAAACAGTTGATAAAGATTAACTCAAGACCCACATGAGCACTGTAATGGTCTCTTATGCCATTTCTTTTTTTTTCTTTTTTATGTTAATTCGTACTTTGAAATTTTTCAAAAACATCTAAATACAAGTGATTAAGTACCATTCTTCGTTAAGAATAATTTCTATATAAAAATATAAAATGGACGTTGTTTATAATTA